TTCATTTAAATTAACTGGCCAAATTCAAACTTCTTGTCTTGGAAAAAAGTGCTGCTTGGCTGTTCTCTACAGAACATTTCCATTCGGGCACTGTCTGTGCACCTGCATTCATAAACTTCCAAGCACAGACAAAGCACAAGCTCTTAAAGGGACCATGGCACTCTTTTCCTCATGATCAGTTTTACCAACAAATTCTAACTTCCTGCCTCACAAATCGTGAATACTCTAACCAACTTCGTAACAGTAAGAATAATCACCTCAGGGAATGTTAACTTCCATGAGGCAGGAATAGAGCTGGACCACATAGATTGGGAGAAGTCCATGGAAAAAACACCTGTAGCTGAACAATCAGCTATATTCAAAAAGGAGATAGTTTGGGTACAGTCAAAAGGCAAAAGGGTGGGCAAACAAATCCACAGCTCCCTGAATGAAAAAGGAAATAGAAATTAAATTAAAGAAGTGTGTTTATGACAGGTGCAGGTAGAAAACACAATGGAAAGCCAAGAGGACTATAGAAGGTTGAGAGAAGTAAAAATGCAAATTAGAGAAGCAAGTAGGGATTAGAGGGAAAGACTAGCAGTCAAAATAATAGGGAATTTCCAAATTTCAATTCTATAGGTGCATCAAAGTTAATAGAGTGGAAAAAGGAGTCTGTCAGATTAGGGTGCCAAAAAGCAGATTTATACATGGGAACACAAGGCACAGATGAGATGTTAAATGAATACTTTACATCTATGTTTACCAAGGAGGCCAATGCTACACAAGCTATTGTAACAGAGAAAGCTTTGTCATTGGAAAGATTCAAAATTAATAAGGAGGCAGTGTTGGATAGGCCATCAATAATTAAGGTTGACAAGATGCCAGGACCAGATGAAATGCATTTAACTGATATTAAAATGAAATATTGAGAGTGGAAGTTTTTGGGGAATGGCCATAATCTTTCAGTGGTCCCTGAGACTCAGCCAAGTTCCAGAGGACAGAAAAGTTCCAAACCTTACAGTTCTTGTCAGAAAAAGATTTAAGGATCAGCTTAGAGTCATGACTCACTGGCATAGCACACTGGAAATCAAGCCCCACTATTCCCAGAGTCATCACAAAAGTTAAAGACTTTAAATCTTGCACCCTCACCCGATTCTTAAAAATATATAAAATTCCCCAAATTACATGTCTTTCAGATCCGGGTTGATAGAAAGCATGGACCAGGTTTCTGAACTTAACAAGAATTACTACTTACTGCAAATAATTAGACTCTAGCTACAGCTATGAACTGTCAGCATGTAACCCTACCACTGAAAACTCTAATCCCCTTATAAACCACCCATGACAGAGACAGGCAGGAAGAAAACAGGGGTGTTATCGGCAGAGGGAGAGATTGGGTAGGTAGTTCATTATTCCTGTTAACAGGATTGCCAAGATTCTTATACTAGTTAGAACATTGCTTCTCATCCTTCCCTCTTCAGAGGCTTTCACTGGTTTGCAAGAGGAATAGGGTGGGTGGCTCACTTGTGAAAGGTCTCTGACTTATCAATTAAATTTCAGCTTGCAGCAACTGCTTAAGCAAAGATAAACAGGTTTTCTTCAAACTTAAATTGGCTTTTACTGCAGAAAACAGAGACAGCACCTGAGTTGATGGAGATCTGAAAAAGCTTCTCTAGATCTAGTTCATAGCCTCAAGCTCTACAGCTACATAAAAACCACATAGTTGTTGACAAGCAGCATGCTTTGTTATTGATAACTGGTCATTAATCCATAAAGCAATCAGGTACATGTACCAACCAAAACTCCATCTGTACACAAACCCTCTGCTCCAGTTCATCTACAACCACATCTTAACTACCATTCAAACAAGCAGCTATACAAACTGTGCTTACAATGAGTGGCAGGTTACTGGATTTCAAAACACGCAACAATCTTTGGTCTTAAAAGATTTTTGTCCCTCATTTCAGTCCAAATTAAAAATACAGGAAAAGAAAAGAAACAACAAAAGTGTTTACACCAGCAATTAAAGATCACTCAGTTTAACCTGTATGGTGGGGAAGCTTCTAGAAACAATTATTCAGCATTGAATTAATAGTTGCATGGATAAATGTGGCTGTTTGGTGAGAGCTAACATGAATTTCTAAAACAACAGAGTGTTTAACCATCTTGCTGGAGTTTATTTGAATAGATAACACAAACAGTTAAATGATGGCAATATTGCTGATGTGGTGCACATGGATTTCCAGAAGGTATTTGATATAGGTCACACAACAGACTTGAGCAAAATCAAAACTCAAATAATAAAAGGGCCAATAGCAGCATGCATACAAAATTGACTAAGTAATAGGAAACAGAGTAGTAGTGAATGAAGGAGACTTGTAATGGAGATCTGTAAGGTTTGGAAATGGGATCCTTGCTATTCCTGATATACAATAATGATCTAGATCCTGGAATGCAAGGGACAAGTTCAACGTTTGCAGAAGCACTGTAAACCGTGAGGACAGTGCCGAACTTCAGAGGCACAAAACCAAGTTGCTGGAATGGGCAGATAGATGGCAGTTGCATTTCCATGTGGAGAGTGAGATGTGATGCACTTTGGCAGGAAAAACATTGACAAGCAACATACCGGTGGGGGTACAATACTTAAAGGGATGGAGGAGCAGAACACAGATCACTGAAGGTGGCAGGACAGATGAAGAGAGCAGTTAATAGAGTGTACAGTATCTTGGATGTACAACAGCTAGTAGCTTAGGCTGAACCTACATGGTGCTTGGAGTACTCAGCTGGAGTAGTGTGCACAGTTCAGGCTACCACTCTACACGTAGGATGTGAACACAATGGAGAATGCATAGAAGAGATTTACAAAAATGGTTCAAGGGAAGGGAAACCCCACTAATGTGAACAGTCTGGAAAGGTTGGAACTGTTCTTTTTGGAGAGAAGAATGGTAAGAGGAGATCTGAGAGAAACTTTCAAAATCATGAGAATATTGAGTAGACAAGAAGAAACTGTTCCCTCTCAAAAGGATGGAGAACAAGAGGGTACATATTTCGAATGATTTGCTAACATAGAAAAGATATTATTGGCACACAGAATGTGCAGCAAAGGCTCATGAGATGTTCCAAAATGGTGTGACTGTCCTCTGAAGTGAGATTGAGCAAACTGGGCCGATTTCCATGGAGTTTCAAAGAAAAGATCTGATTGAAATCAAAAAAAAACTGAAAAGGGATTAGATAGAGTTGATGCAGCTAAGATATCTCTCCTGGTTGGAGGGTCTAGAACTGGGAGGCACCACTTAAAAATATGTGGATTGCCATTGAGGATTGGAGGTGAGGAGAAATTTCTTTACCCAGAAGATGAAGAATCTTTGGAATTCTCTACAATAGGGAACTGTAAACATTCAGTCTTTGAGAATACTTAAATTAAAGCTTGATAATTTTTTGATTCTGATTATTTTATGATTTTGATTATCAAAGAAGAAATGAAACCAGACGGACAACCTGGCATTGACTGAGGCACCAGGAACAACAATGCCAATGTCAGAAACAGTCCTATTGACCTTAAGTCCTCCTTACTAAGATTGAGGGAACAGTGCCATAACTGGGAAAGCTGTCTCACAGACCAGTCCAGCAACAGCCTGACAGAGTCATACTCATGGAATCATACCTTACAGACAATATCATAGACACCACCATCACCATCCCTGGTGATGTCCTGTCCCCAGCAGAACAGACCCGGCAGCGGTGGCATACAGGGTGTGTGTGCGCGTGTGCGTGCGTGGTTGCCCTGGGAGTCCTCAACATAGACTCCAGACCCATGAAGTCTTGTGGCTCTAGGTGAAACATGGGCAAGGAAACCTCCGCTGATTACCACATACTGCTCCCCCCTCAGCTGATAAATCATTGCTCTTCCATAGTCAGCAACATTTGGAGGAAGCACTGAGGATGGCAAGGACATAAATGTATTCTGGGTGGGGGGATTTCACCAAGAGTGGCTCAGCAGTAGCACTACTGACCAAGCTGGTTGGGTCCTAAAGGGCTTGGCTGCTAGGCATGGTCTGCGGCAGATGGTGAGGGAACCAAGAGGGAAAAGCATATTTGACCTCATCCTGACCAATCGTTGGGCTGCATGTGTCTGTGACAGTATCAGTAAGAGTGACCGCTGCACAGTCCTTGTAAAGGCGACACTTTGCCTTCACGCGGAGAATACCCTTAATTGTGTTGTGTGGCACTATCACTGTTCTAAATGGAACAGACTTCAAACAGATCTAGCAACTTAAGACTGGGCCTCCATAAGGGTCATCAACAGCAGCAGAATTGCTCTCCAGAACAAACTGCAACCACATGGCCTGGCATATCCCCCACTTAACCATTACTATCAAGCCAAGGGATCAAACTTGGTTCAATGGAGACTGCAAGAGGGCATGTCAGGAGCAGCACCTGGCATACCTGAAAATAAGGTGTCAACCTGGTGAAGCTACCAAACAGGGCAATTTGCACAGCAAACAGCATAAGCAGCAAGTGATAGACAGAGCTAAGCAATTCCACAACCAACAGATAAAATCTAAGCTCTCCAATCCTACCACATCCAGTCGTGAATGGTAGTGGACAATTAGACAATTCATTGCAGGAAGCGCCTCCACAAATATCTCCATGCTCAATGATGGAACAGCCCAACACATCAGAAAAGGCTGTAGCTTTCACGGGAATCTTCAGCCAGAAGTGTTGAAATGACGATCCACTCGGCCTCCCCCACTGGTCAGTCTTCAGCCAATTCCATTCACTCCATGTGATGATATCAAGAAATGGTTAGAGACACTGGATACTGCAAAGACTATGGGACCGGACAACATTCTGGCAGAAGTATTGAAAACTTGTGCTCCAGAACTTGCTGTTCCCCTAGCTGAACTGTTTTAGAACAGTTACAACACCGGCTTCAGCCGGCAATGTGGAAAATTGCCCGGCCATGTCCTGTACACAAAAAGCAGAACAACTACAACCCAGCCAATTACCGCCCGATCAGTCTAATCTCGATCACCAGTAAAGTGACAGAAGAGGTTATCAACAGTGCGATCAAGCAGGACGTATTCAGTAACAACCTGCTCAGTGACACCAGTTGGGGTTCAACTGGGGCAACTCAGCTTCTGATCTCATTACAACTTTTGTTCAAACATGATGTGGATGTGCTGAAGTTGGACTGTGGTGGACAAAGTCAGAAGTCACACGACACCAGGATATAGTCCAACAGGTTTATTTGAAATCACACAAGCTTTCGGACCGGACAAAGCGGCTGCACTCCAAAAGCTTGTGAGATTTCAAATAAACCTGTTGGACTATAACCTGGTGTCATGTGACTTCTGACATGGTTCAAACATGGACAAAGGCGCTGAATTCTAGAAGTGAGGTGAAAGTGACAGCCCTTGACATCAAGGCCACATTTGACTGAGTACGCCATCGGGGAGCCCTGGCAAAACTGGATTCTATAGGAATCAGGGAGCAAACTCTGTGCTTGGAGTCATACCTGACACAAAGGAAGCCGGATGTCTCAGCTCCAAGGCATCTTTGCAGGAGGTCCTCAACGTAATGTCCTGGGCCCAACAATCTTCAACTGCTTCATCAATGACCTTCCCTCCATAAGGTCAGAAGGGATATCGCTGATGATTGCGCAATGTTCAGCACCTTTCATGATTCCTCGGATACTGTAACAGTCCATTTTCAAATCTGGACAATATCCAAGCTTAGGCTAACAAGTGGCAAATAACATTCACACCACACAAATGTCAGGCAATGACCATCTCCAATAGGAGACAATCTAACTACCAAGCCTTGAAATTTAATGTTGTTATCATCACTGGAATTCTCGCACTAACAACATTCTGGGGGTTACCGTTGACGAGAAACTCAACTGGACTTGTCACGTAAATACAGTGGCTACAACAGCAGTACAGAGGATAGGAATTCTACAGTGATTAAGTCATCTGCTTGACTACCCAAAGCTTGTCCAGCATCTACAAGGCACAAGTGAAGAGTGTGATAAAAACCTACTTTCCTGGATGAGTGCACCTTCAACAACATTTAAGAAGCTTAACACCATCCAGGACAAAGAAGCCCACTTAATTAGGGCCACATCCACAAATATCCAATACCTCTACCGCCACTGCTCAGTCACAGCTGTGTGTACTATCTACAAGATACACAGCAGAAATTCACCAAAGATCCTTAGACAACACCTTCCAAACCCACAATCACTTCCATCTAAAACACAACAAGGGCAGCAGATAGATGGGAACATCATTACCTACCAGTTCCCCTCTTAGCCACTAACTATCCTGACTTGGAAATATATTGCCGTTCCTTCAGGTGTCGCTGGGTTAAAGTTTGGAATTCCTATCCTTTCCGTGGGTCTACGTACAACACTTGGACTGCAGTGGTTTAAGAAGGCAGCTCACCACCACCTTCTCAAGGACAACTAGAGGCAACCAATAAATGCTGGCCAGTCCCAATGCCAACGTCCCACAAGCATATAAAAAACATGGCAGAGAATTTATAGGTGTGGGTAAAAGGCACTGAAGTGTTCAATCAGTCATGGCCATATGAAATGGCAAAATAGGCTTGAAAAGCTCAATGGCCTATTTCCATTCCTATGTGCCTAAATATGGTACCTGGGCATTGAAGTGTAAAAAACTTCAGCATTTCAACCTTGTCTGGTTTCCAAAGCAAGTTCCATTGAGGAGTGAACAGCTTGCTAAACTTCTTAAAATAAACAAATAAAAATAATGTTCATCATCAGCACTGATACCCAACTGCCAGCCTGAGAGGACAGAGATCAAGAACACCAACTTGGGAGAGGGCGACAGTGAGACACAGCACTGTAATACTACCTTCGATGCAGGAAAGGGAATGGATGGAGCAGCTTGAAGTCCATTCTTACCTGCTGGACATGAGGCTCTTTTGCAAAGGACATTCGAGCTACAGATTGAGAAGCTAGTGTCAGTTCCTGATCTTTTACTTCCCCTTCTTCAATTTCCACAATACCTTGAGAAGAAAAGCATCAGTTTAAAAATAATGCTAACATCAAAACAGTATTTGTGCATCAAAACACTGAAAATTTGATCAGCAGGGTGAAGTGATGGATATTATCAATTATGCACTCTATTGATCTGCACGATTTTGGAGCAAGAAACACTATCTGATTAACATTTCAATGATATTCTTCTGATTTACACAACACTCAACATCTGATTATAGATAAATATAATACAGAAACATCTTCATAAGATACACTAACATGCAGAGCTTGCATCAACTCATTCTAATTATATTACACCAGAGGCAAATATTTGAACTGGACAAAGTAGGAATAATGACTTTGAACTCTAAAAAGAACGATAATTAGAATTCCACCTCAAACAAAAGCAGCTGCAGTGACTGAGATAACCACCAAATTGAAACCTGGCTTTCCTCATTTTGTAAATGCAAATACATCACATCTGAGAAGACTCATCCAGAACAGGGGTGAGGGGAGTGAACAGGGAGAACACTGAAACCAGCCTTCTAAAATGCACGTTATATAAAATCAACGTAGCCAAAGGCAATCGTGTGCTGTATTTACCATTCCCTAAATTTATCAATGTAATTTTGCTTTTGCTGACAAGGCCAACATTGCCTATCCCTAATTCCATTTGAATGGAGATGCTTGCTGTGTCGTTTCAGTGGGCAGTTAAGAGTCAACCACTCCCCTGGGTCTGGAGTCATATTAGCACCAGGCCAGCTAAAAGGATATTAGTGAACCAGGTGGGTTTTTGTAATAAACAATGTTTACTACCACAGTCAGCATCACAGCCTAGCTTTATATTCCAGCTCCTGTGGTAGAATCATTGGATCTTATATCACTGAAGGAGACCATTAACCCATTGCAACTATATCCACTCTTTGAAAGAGCTAAACAATTAGTCCCGATGTTCTTTTGCCATATATCTGTAATACTTTTCCAAATGCCCATTTGAAAGTCAGTATTCTTCCATCCATTCAGGCAGTGCATGGATTTGAACCAGTGTCCCTACAACATCAGCGTGGGCCTGTGGATTACTAGTTCAGTGACATTAACTTTACGCAACTAACCCTGCCCACTCCCCAAGCAAGTGACCCAATCTATCTTGCAACAGCCGTAGAATGCTCCACTGTGTTGTCAGCCTGCTCACTGCATTTGTATTATGTTTTGGCATGAGTACAGAACCGGTTTAGCATAAAATAACTTGGAGTTGCGTCCCGATTAGCCTACGTACAGTTCGAAGGTGTGAAGAACAAAATAAAGTACGAACGATATCTTTGCCTCCTTTCCCCTAGAGGCTGATTTGGAAAATCGTAGAAAAGGAGGGACTTATTTACTGAATCTGCATTCAGCAGGCCTACATGAGATGGAGGGGAAAAAGGGAGGGAGGGAAATTCACTACGATACTTAGGAGTCACATTCACACTTCTCTCCACCGCATTGTTTACTCATTATACAGCATAAGACTGAGTGACTTGACAAAATAAGTTGCATGAACAAAAAGCATGAACCAGGTAGCACGGTTGCTCAGTGGTTAGTACTGCTGCCTCACAGCACCAGGGACCCAGGTTTGATTCCACTCTTGGGTGACTGTCTGTGTGGAGTTTGCACATTCTCTGTCTGCTTGGGTTTCCTTCGGGTGGTCCGGTTTCCTCCCACAGTCCAAAGATGTGCAGGGTAGGTGGATTGGCTATGCTATATTGTCTATAGTGCCCAGGGATGTTTAGGTTAGGTGGATTAGACATGGGAAATGTAGGGGAATGGGTATGGGTGGGATGCTTTTCGGAGGGGCGGAGTGGACTTGTTGGGCCGAATGGCCTGTTTCCACACCGTAGAGATTTGACGATTGATGATTTGATGAGGTTAGGAGGAGGTAGAAGACAGTGAATTCAATATGTAATATAACACCTAAGGCTGCTAAAGCAAAAATCTTTACTTCTTGATAATTTCTTTTGATTTCATAGAATCAGGAATCCCTACAGTGTGGAAACAGGCCATTTGGCCCAACAGGTCTCCACCGAAGACCTACCCTCCGAAGGCCATCCCACCCAGACCCATTCCCCTGCATTTCCCATGTCTAACCCACCTAACCTAAACATCCCTGGGCACTATGGGCAATTTAGCATGGCCAATCCACCCACCCCGCACATCTTTGGACTGTGGGAGAAAATTCACGCAGACATGGGGAGAACGTGCAAACTCCACACAGACAGTTGCCTGAGGCTGGAATCGAACTTGGGTCCCTGGTGCTTGGTAGTGGTTTCATACAACTGAGTGATAATTAAGAATCAACTGCATTGTTATGGGTCTGGAATCATCTGTAGGGTAGACCAAGTGAGGATTAATGAAACAGATAGGCTTCCACAACAATGGACATTGGTTACATGACTGCCATTAAGCTAGCTCTTAATTCCAGGTATTTTAAATCGATTTCAATTTTCACCTTCTATCATGATGCAATTTGAATCTATGTCACTAGAATATTAGCCTAGAGTCCTGGATTATTAGGCCAGTGACATTACCACTACACCACTGTCTCCAGAGTCAAAATCCTGGAACTTGCCTCCTGACAGTACTGTGGGTGTCTCACTACTGACTGGAGTGGTTCAAGAAAGCTCCAGCTGGTGAACTGCTGTCAACATCAGATGATAATGTACCATGTATGGAAATAACCCTTGCAATGCTAAGTGCATCGCCAGATTGCAAAACTAAGCAAGAGCAGATTCTTCAGAAGTGTTGGCAGACAATAACCTGATCGACAATATCTTCAGTTTCACAGAACAAAAGGAAAAAAGGGAGACATTACACACACAGTTGCACAGCGCATCATTATTGACTTCAGTTAGAGCTGTTTTGGTGCAGCGATGCCCTTAAGGATATCCTTAATATTGGTACACTCAGACAATGAAGGCCATCAGTTTAACTGGGACAAGGTAACCAGAGTAGCCCAAGCCAACCATAGACACGCATGGGAATTCCTACAGGTATGGTTCTCCACCCATAATGCAATCAACAAACACAGAATTGGACCCCACATAACAAACCCATTCGGATCAAAACCGGAAATGACACTACTCGCCATAACAGACCAAACAGTATAAATTCCAAGCAGAATAGAATAACATCGCTTCATTGGACTCTCCACTGATGATGTCACCTAGCATGGTGATGAAATGTCTGAATGAGAACAAGACAGCTTGGCGAGCAAGTCAACAACCTCAACCACAACCCAAGCTACAGATCTTTGCCAAAACCTTAAATTCTATATTCTGATACTGGTTTGAAAACAGCTGGCTGAACGGAGGTTGATGCTGTTCTTCCGGCTCCCAAAGGTTCCTGCTTCTTGTGCGGACATCTCCACAGCATCAGCCCCTGTGATTTGAGTGGCTCCTTTAAAACTGTTGTGAGCGCGTGTCGGCTTGGTATCTGACAGGTAGTTACAACAGTTTGATACAGCAATGTAATTACCATAATTCAGTTACTCCATATGAATGAATTTTTTGCCCCAGGGAGGATGTTACAAGAGGCAGTATTAGATGTTGTAATTATTGATTCAGCCAACCCTAGGAGCTGGGCTGTCTCGAAAACAGTTCTATTGTTACTCCGATCTATTGTTCCATCCAAAACCTTGAGGCATTGTCTCATCAACACCTATTCATCATTGTCAATTCAGGTAAATGGTTTACATATCTGTCTGAGAGATAGTAGGAACTGCAGATGCTGGAGAATCCGAGACAACGGTCTAGGCCCGAAACGTCTGCTCGGCCTGCTGTGTTCATCCAGCTCTGTACCTTGTTGTCTCTACATATCTGTCTGCCCTGATCCATGAAGATGCTGCGGCAACAGATGAATGGACACTGTGCAACAATCGCCAGAAAGGAATGTTCCCTCCCAGTCAGGGAACACTTCAGTGGTCAAGGACATCCAGCCTCCGATTTTCATGTAAGCATCCTCCAAGGTGCCCTCCAAGACACGCAACAACGCCGAGAAGAAACTGATAGCCAAGTTCCATACCCACGAAGACGGCCTCAATCCTGATCTTGGGTTCATGTCTCGCTACATGTGACCCCACCGTACTGTTCTGTATCTGTAAAATCTTCCTTACTGTCCTGTTTTGACATCATCATTTTGATAACTTGCTACAAGCTCTCTCCCTTAATTAATTTATACAGGTGGTGAGGCATAGGTCCAGTAGTTTGAGCATGTTGTCTGTGGAGATGGAATAAAATTCACCACAGAGGAGAAGAACAAACAGCTCCCATTCCTGGACGTCATGGTAGATCACAAGACAAATGGGGAACCCCAAACGAAAGTACACAGAAAAGCCACACACACAGACCAGGTACTGAACTTCAACAGTAACCATCCCCACACACACAAACGAAGCTGCGTACGAACACTATTTAAATGGGCAACAACACACTGCAGCAACACAGAACTACGCCAAGAGGAAGAAGAATACCTTTTCCAGGTTTTCAAGGATAATGGATCTCCAAAAAACTGGGTCAGAAGATGCCTACACGAACAACATCAGGAAGATACTACACGCCCCGACACACTCGTCACACTACCCTACATCAGGAACACATCGGAACTAACCACAAGACGCCTACGACCGCTGGGCATCAGAGTGGCACACAAGCCCACATCAACCCTACGACAACTGCTCACCCAAACTAAAGACCCACTCCCTGCCATGGACAGGACCAATGTCATGTACAAGATCCCCTGCAGAGACTGTGAGAAACACTACATCGGACAAACAGGAAGGAAACTAACAAGGGTACACTAACACCAACTGGCTACAAAAAGACACGACCAACACTCTTATCTCAATCCACATGGATAAGGAGAACCACCAATTCTACTGGGACAACACCAAAATCCTGGGACAAGCTAAGCAGCGACAGGCACGGGAATTCCTAAAAGCCTGGCACTCCACGAAGAAAGCCATCAATAAACACATAGAACTCGACCCCATATA